CCCCAAAACCCCAAAACCCCAAAACCCCAAAACCCCAAAACCCCTATTTTATGAGGCTGAATTGAGCAATAATAATAGATTATTTTAGTTAAAAATAAAGAAGATGCAGAGGAGACAAAGCTCAACAGCATTTATTAATTGTCTATGACAATGAGAAGAGCTCACCAACAGGAAAATCAGGTAAATAAACTTAAAATCTCCTGGTTGAGCCTAAATAGCCTACTTTTTTATTAAATTTCACCTGATAATTAGCTGAAAGATTATGAAACTTAATCTAATATTCAATAGACGCCAATGTTCACTACCTGGCCGAAATACAAAGATTACTAAAGAGACCCAAGAGATGGAAGAAGATATAGGCCAAATATTAGGCTACAACAAGAATATTGAATGCCTTCCCATCTGATCCTTGGATAAAGTAGCAATCAATTGCATTTGTAAGTCTAAAGAACTCAGCAAGGAAGCTATATCAAACCACAATTGAGGTAAAGAGAGCCAAAATGACTCTGAAGATATCCTGGATAATGATTTAAATCAGAATTTAGCTGAAGACACCTCTGCTATAGTGAAACCTGAAGAGGTTTCCCAAAATCCGACCGAAAAAGGTAAAGACGGAGTTTAAAAGCTTCTTTTAGCCAATTATGTGCAATTTGAAATCTTTTTGCTCAAGCTACTATTTCAACGTTACATAAATCACAAATTTTGTGTGATCTCACAATTTGTCTTTTCCCCAGGATTCTCTCAGAACTGTATACTTCTGTAGAGATACCACTAATTGTTTGAAGTTTTTCCAATTTTGACATTTTTGTACCTATCCAAGTCGTTGAAATTTTTAATTTGAGCCTGAAATCCTTGAAATTGACTATAAAAAAATTATGCAATAGTTTAATTCCTTTCTGAGGAGAGACGAAGGTTTCGACTAAATTTTAAAAATCCAAGAGCCAATAGTTTATTTCTAAAGCCTTTGGTCAATATTTGGTCATCAGCACTGGAACTCCTGAATTCATGAGTTCTTAGTTTACCTAAAGTATGAATTTTTCTTATACTTTATCATAAAAATGAGGGAAATCGCTTGTAAATATCTGCTCTTAATTTCAGTAACCCATAGCAAAATCCACTTCTCCTTAAGCTATTATCAAAATTCGAAAAAGCACAAGATCCGTAAACCCTGAATATGTTTCAATGAGAAATTTAGAAGATTTTTATACCCCTCCTTAAAGAAATTTAGTTGAGAGATATTAACCTGAGAGGTAAAGCAGGCATGTCCTAATTCTCAATTTTCAACGCTCTCTAAATACTCTTAAGACTGGCTTGAATTATATAAATTTGCAGTTCCAGGCTTCACCTGACTTTGAAATCTCTGAAATTTTCCGGATACGCTGATGAAAATGATTCTAAGTTTAGACAAATTTGGTCCTATTATTATGAACGAGTCTCGTTCTAATTTTTATTAAAAGGAATAGGGAAGCTTTGCATAATTATTCCTACTTAATTTTAGTATTACCGTACCCACCGCTCTTGGTAAAGTAGATTTAGAAATCATTCCGGTTTACCATATAATTGAAGCTATTTATTAACATGCATCCTGTTATTTCTCGCAGAGTTTTGTAAAGATATGGCTTTTCTAACCCATTCTTCATATTTTCAGATGCTAATTTGAAATAAATCTCAGGATCCTCTGCTACAAAGGATGAAAACAAATTTTATCCAGCCTCATGTGTTTCAACAACATTTTCGCTACTTCAAAAGATATAGATATTTATTTGATTCTTATTTTTGTGTACCAAAGAATACTCACTAAACTTTAGATGCTTGGTAAACCCTTAGGAATAAATATTGGGCTGGTTTCTTTGAATCTTGCCTATCAACCTATATTTTAGTTGAATTCTTATCCAAATCAGCCAATTTGTGAATTTCCGATTTAACATAAGCCAAAGCTTGAGTACCACATGGGTTGGGAATCTAATAAGTTATTAATAAAGCCGAGAAATATCCAACAGGGTTCGGCAACCTCCTTCGTTGGGTTCTAGGATTCTGAAAATGTATATATTCTTGCTAGGAATACGACTAAGGGTTTTCCCATTGCCAAGATTTTGCAACCAGTCCATTACAGTTGGGATTTAGTGGAGATATGGTGTTTTTGGTTTAGACTTATAAAGGAACAATAAGTATAAATTTTGAGATATGTGATGGAGGAAATGCTAGTGTGGCCAGAGTTTTGTTGAAAGTTGAAATAATTTTCCTTCTAAAAAGTGGTGGTATTTAAGGAGTAAAGTGTGCAAGTCTGTGAGTTTCTATTGTTTCTGATAATTCTTATACTATCGGTAATCAATTTAATCGGGATAAATATTGCAATATCTTCATTTATTGTTTCTGGCTTGAAGCAAAATTCATATCTTCAATTCTAACTATGTCTAGATGCTCAATCAAATGTAGTAGAACCCCAAAGCAACGAAGCAAATGATAATCTCGGAGACTACATCACCCAGGTTGTCACAGACATCGGAAGCCCTCTCATCGGTCCAGATCTCGTCAATAAGTTCAGCGAAGCGTCTCGGAGCAGGTTCAAGAGTGGCAGCCGCACTCAACACTGTAAGATGGCTTCTGTGTCAAACCCAGATGGAGTTTCGTGTGAAGAGTACAGCCAGTTTGCACTCCATGCCATTAAGTACCTGAGCTACCTCAAAGATTACCCGGCCCCAGCTCTTGACGAACTCTCCGATTTAGGCAAAATGGTTGACTTCACACCGACTCAGCCAGGAAGTAAGTCTGACTCAATCTTCATCTGACTCAGCCGATGGCTTTGTTGGTCGTACTTAGCACTTTGTTAGAGACTGAGCTTCGGATTGCCAGCCTTGTATTTGTTGTCATTCTGACTCATTCGTGTAGGAAAACTGGTTGTGTTCGACCTCGATGAAACGCTGGTGCACTGCATTTTCAACGACCCAGACATCCATGATGCAGACGTGTTTCTGGACATTAAAATGCCGAACGGAAGAACTGCCAACACCGGCTTCAACATCAGGCCATACTGGCAAGAACTCATGGATGGAATCAAGAAGCACTGGGACATTGTTGTGTTCACAGCGTCATGCAAGAATTATGCAGACGCCATTCTGGACTACATGGATCCTGACAACGAGTACTTCGAGCGGAGACTTTACAGAGAAACTTGTTACAAAACAGAAGATGGCGTATATATCAAAGACTTGAGGGTATTTAAAGAGTGGGCTCTTGAAGACGTCATATTGGTCGACAACGCTGTGTACTCTTTCGGATTCCAACTCGATAACGGAATCCCTATCTTCCCTTACATCCAAGGCAAAGATGATATGCAATTACTTCACTTAAAAGAGTATCTTCAATTCCTAGAGGAAGCTCCTTCTATCAAAGATATTGCCAAAACTTTCAGAATGAGCAGCTTGTGAAAGGATATTGATGAGCTCCTTCCTATCTATGATCCTCAAAATCAAGAAGACGATGAGTGAATGGGTGTTCTACTGAAGAAAATGATGAATAACAAAGATTTTATCGACAAGGCAAACCAAAGCCCAAGCTTTGAGAATGGGCAATTCTCATATCAGAACCGACCTTCCTGCCCTGAAGTAACTTTAGATGAAGAATCAAAGAAATTGAGCCCTGCAATAGACTCTGATGACTTTCCAAGAAGCCATAGTAACAATATTGGGAAAGTAGACCCCTATGAGTTCAACGAAGCAGAGGACCTCGACAACATAATCCTCTCTAATCTTGATGACAACCTTTTGGATGAAACTACATCAAAGAAAAAGAAAAGAAATAGACTGACCATGCTCCGCAAAAACGTCAGTGTAATTTATAGCAAAGAAAAGAAACTTGACGGCACAGATGAACTCACTTATTCAGCTGCTGATGGTAGCTCTAACACTGACAGTCATAAGAAAGTAGGCACACCACAAATAATCTCAAAGAAGACTAAGAAGAGAAGGAAACTGAAGAACTTGAAGAATTCTAAAGGAGGATCAAGCACTGTAACTGAGCATGTTAAACTTGATGAGGCTGCACCTTGTAAGCAAATCTCTTTATTCAAGAAAGCACCTAACTATGATATGGATGAAGACCGCAGCTTTTCTGAATCTCCTCCTCCAAAGGATAGAGTCGTTTCTTGCTTTGCTTCTAAGGGAGAACCATATGTGTTTAAGAGAGATGATCAATTTAGTAAGAGTGATCAGTTCCATAGTAAACGGAACTCTTCTCCTCTTGGAGATGATGCTGAAGATTGTTTGATAAAATCTTCTACCAAGCCTTTCCAGAAAAGGACAAATAGTAACTCTAGCTGTAGCTCTGAATTCGAAAGGTCAGAGGGAGATAATATAGGATCTACTGATACTACTAGTAAGAAAACAAAATCTTGCTACACTATCTCTGAAGGTACTCCTAATGATCAAGTAAAAGGAGTCTCTTATACAGTTTCTCCATCTGGGGATACTATAAAAGAGGCATCCAAAGATGAGGAGTGCTCTCCTGACATTCGGAGAGATGAATCAAGACGAGATTCATACTCTGAAGAACTTGCAGGTCTTCGTGCATTCTTTGGTCATGATCAAACTCCTAGTGCTAAGAGAAATTCAAATGCTAATCCTAAGGATAAGTCTAAGTTTTGAGGAAAGCTTAAGAGGAAATCAAAGCATAAGAAGCACAAACTAACTCTTCAAAAATGTGAATATCGTGAAGATGATTTTTAGGCTATTCACCTAAATTCTTATACCATTTTATATGAATAATATAGTCAAAACAATATTCTGAATCTAGTTGGGGTTTTGGGGTTTTGGGGTTTTGGGGTTTTGGGG